CCCCGCCCCCCCCCAACCACCACCCGAAGAGAGTCATGTTGGCATAGAAAGGTTAAGGAAAAGGGTTTTCTTTCCCCTCTCCTTTCTTGGAGCTACTTGAGACAGCAAAAACTATTTTAATTAGTTCTCCTTCAGCCAGTTGTGCATGTTTCATACCCCTTCACTAAGAGAATGCTGCAGGGTCAGGAGGTAGGGAGGACACCCAATGAGTGTCTAAAGTGACATCAGTGGTCTGATAAAAATCTTTCCATATAAAATATTCTCTGACATACCTAATGAAGGTACTGGGTATCGCCTCCACAGGAAGATTTATTTAGGGATAACTAATATAAAGGGATATTTAACATAGCACACAGCCAGCCCAGGAAAAGTCATTCAGACTAAATGACCTAGCAGTACTATTTATTGATATTTGCCCTAAAAAAAGCACCAACAAGAAAGAACTCTTAGTTATTAAAGCACATCCCCTTTCAGATGTATTACATATGCTAGCACAATGTAGGAAGCCAAGTCTGGCATCTGTCTGATAAAATTTAGGTTGCAAGCTCAGATGCACCTGCAGGCTAGACACCTTAAGGTTTGGTGCAACACAGACATGACTGGAAGAGATACAAGCCAAAAAGCCCCCAGTGCTCTCTCTGCTATTTCCATATCCTCGGTCCTTACTTTGCAAGTGTAACAGGCTTTTGGCTACAGGTCAGCCCCATCTTGGCTCACAGTGATTTATCTTCTTGTCTCTGGCAATATGAAAATGACAACACACAGCTGTGGGAGATGTCTTGTCAGGAAGACCAATATCAAGCCCAGCTTTGTTTCAGATCTTCAGAAACAGGGCAGTAGTAGGCAGCAACATTATGAAATTCAGTGGGTTTTGTGCTCGCATGTGACAGAGCTCAGTGCTGGTGAACCCGTACCTTCCTCTCCTTCTCCTGCTGGATTATCCAGCAGCAGTTATCAGCAGGTTGATACTGACAAGACCAAGATGCTGGCCACAGCACTGGGTCTACTCTGGGCTGGGCTAAACAACAGCCATAGAATGGCCAGTCAGCCACATGAACACCAGGCAGGAGTCACAGGAAGAACAAAAAGCTCTGGACTTTTATATATACACAATGTAAGAGAAATCTCAAAAGATTAACTGGAACTCTTCTAATAGGTGACTGATGGAAGAGGTTGGGGTGGGAGGCTGCACCTTTCCAAGTGTAGGTGCAGCCCTGGCAACACTCCTTTTGCACACAAACCACTGCTACCCCCACCAACAGGGAGAGCTTTCAGCAGAGGGGCTGCTCCAGGGCTCCAACTGAAACTGCTGTTTGTCCTTGCAGGATCCCCTTCATCCCCATACGTATCAAATCAGGCTTTCATACCTCCTTTTCATTCCAGAGCCTCTCCAGAGCTGATTGAGCCCCCACTGGCACACAGCGCTCTGTCTCCACCTGCAAAATCTTCTGCCTATGGCTCCCAGGAGGGGAGAGGTGTGGGTTTACACTCACTGCTGCCTGAAGAGCTGGAGAGACATGCTTAGTCTCACAGAAAGACTGAGCAGCCTCAGTTTCTAGCTGATCTGAGCTCAGAAGTAACTTGTAATCACAAGACATTTAGCCAGAATTGAAGTTTTCCATAAAAATAGAAAATTCTCAAGTACCTTCACTTGGCAGAGAGAGTATTTCTTACTCAAAATAGGCATAAATATGATGTCTCTCTACAGAATCAAACAATAACACCACAGTAATTTTGGGGCTGCATGAAGAGGAGAGCAGAAGAATAGGAGAGAAAAAAAGTCGGAGGTATTAACGTTCCCAGGTTGGCTTTGCCTCAAAGAATAGTCTGATCAGCAGAAAAGTATTTATCAATTAGATGGTGTTGAAAGAACATTAAAAAAAACCAAACTGTTTGAGGGCTGAAGGTCTATAATTATTAGGAAGGTTTAAGAGTTTTCTTATGCAATCATCATTAATCAAGCTATGGAAAGGAACTAAGATGCAAATGTTATCACGCAAATAACTAGGAGGGGTTGGGATTATTTAAAGTTAATGATGAGCACAAAATTAAGAAAAAAAAAATCAAGCAACAGAGTCTTAGTGTTAGACTTGTTTCCTCATTTTATTTGGCTGTGCCTCAGCCTCACCAGGGAGGAGACGGAAGCTCTACAGTGTATATTTAAATCTAGATTTCCCTTTAGAAAGGTATAAAAGGACTGGGAAAATAGTCTAGCAGGAAGATGAACTGCTACAGGATTTGAATTAACAAGCCTTTCTCATCTTTGTTCACTTAAAGTAGAAACTGGTTTGTTAGCTTGTGAATAACTGGAATCTTAGGGTAGAATTTTTTACCATGACGTGCATAGATGAGGCATGCTTTTATACTGTAGTTATTTTTCTGTATATAAATGCCAGTAGCAATTCTTCTTCGGCCTTGAGACCTCGTTCCACATAACGCCCCAAAATATCTGCTTTTGTTGACAAAAAGGAGTAGTGGACTGTGAACAAGAGAGCGCTGTCAGAAATATCTTCTTGCTCACATAATGTGCAAATTTCCATGGTAGCAATGACTGGCAAGGGGAAGGTATGTGCATACCCACCACAAGTACCGGACAGCCCAGAATCAAAGGCTTGTTGGGAGGGCTGGCTGGAAATTAATACTGGGAATCACAGCTCTAGTAAGGCTTTAGGAGTGCAGGAAAAGCAACTGCTATACTACCAAACTATTAAATAAAAGTCCACTGCTAAAATCTTGGCTTCAGCCACTTGTCCCTGCTGGGAGCTCAGGAGAGGCACAATCCTATAGACTTCCAACTTTTAAGGCCTGCAGGTTGCTAGCCGTGGAAGGGCAGCTGCCTAGGGGCCAGCAAAGCCCACTGGCAGGGATGCCAGGCTCACCTGCTCACTGAGAGCTTTCACTAGGAAGTTGGAGTAAATATTTTCCAGGTGTAGACAGGGACACTAACTGCTACACCTCTGCCATCAACATCTTCCAAGTGCCTGCACTTAGCTGATACTATAAACTAACTTTGTCCCTAATACATCCTTGCATCGTAAATCAGACAGAAGCATGCCTGAAGACAGACGTACTGAAGAGATAAGTGTACATGTAACATTCCCCCTTTATTTACCTGGCCCCTCAGTGAAGTCAACACGTGTACTCAGCTTCACCAGTAATCTGTGGTATCAAAGTCCATGCCTCTACAGACCATGTACACAGTGGCACAGTCACAGTGAAACACAATTCACAAAGGCTGGGTTCCTGCTTCTAGATTACTTTTTTTCTCCTGACTCTTACTAAGGATCCATATGAATGCTTCCCTTTTTCTAGGTTGGCTGTTGTATACTTAATGAATACCAACTGGCTGTTAGGAATATAAGAGTTAACCTCTATGGGATCACCTTTACTGCACACATACACACCCATCTTTTACAGTGATAATTCAACGCAAAGTCGTTGGAAGCAGCCGTTCAGAACCGGGAGGACACAGCCACCCACAAATGTTTCTCCTAACTTACAGCCTCATCACTATAAAGACAATCACTCTCTCCAAGTAACCACATTGCAAACAATCCTTGTCATAGCTGTTGGTTTACCAATATGTTTTAAACATCAACAGTTTATTCCTGCAGTGGTCCAGACTAAGTCATCTTGAATCATCCAATAGTGCAGTACAGCAGCTCTGCCTTGCAACATCTTGGTAATACACAGATACTGCCAGCCAGGTCCTTCCCAGACACAAACCAGTAAAGAGCTTTAAACAAACTCCCTTCCCCACCTCCCAACCAAGTGACATGCTAATCTTTTTCCCCTCTTCCCTTCCTCCCTCTCATGTGGCATTTGCAAATGTGCATTAAGAGGCAATACAGTTTAGGAGACGCTCCTATTTGCAATTCTTTGTCTGTTCTTGCCCCTTTTCCCCCGCTTAAAATGTGAATGATGTTTTTTCTCTTCTGACACATTGCACACATCAATTAAGAAACTGTCTAATGAAGCTTCCTATTAATGGGGATCCACTCTGAAGTTTTCATTTCATCCAGAGAGGCACAGGATGGTTAGTGTATAGTAGTTACTGTATGCAAAACACAAGTTATGCACCTCAATTAATTAACTTTTCTTTTCCTGCAGCAGTACTGTAAATGCCTCCTAGGCATTTTTTCCTTTGTAAATGCTCTCACCTATTTTAAGCCTAATTGCATTAGCATAGAAAAAAGAAAACAAAATAAATCAAGACTGAACTCATATGTTACATCCTGTCTCTAGATGCAAATAGCAGTTGAGTAGACAGTGGCATTGATGTCATGAAAATTAGAGAAGAGGCAAAGTCACACTGATACAAATAAGCCAAGGATCTAAGTAAGCTTTGGTTTAAATAAACCAAGGCTTAAATAAGCAAAGTCAAGGACACTAGTCTTCTCTGACAGCTTGTTAACTAGAAAAAAAAACAGCAGAAAGTTCCTTTTGCCTCACAATGCTCAGGGCTGACTCAGAGCACACACCCGCCAGTGCTCAGGGACATGAGCAGCAGTGTCACTATAGGAGAGAGCAAGTTTCAGCAGCTCTACTGTATTAGCTACTTTCTTCCCTGTGCAATGCAAATATCAGCAACTCCGCACTAGATTTTCTTCTCTAATTGGGAGACATATTTTTGTCACACTACCCAGATTTCTTCCACCTACAGTAAAACCTGCAGTCATCACCTGAGAAATGAAGCCACTGCTCTTGCAGTGTATTCAGGATTCAGTTTACACCCGAGTGTTGCAACAAAAAGCTTCTGGAAGCCAGCCTGCTGTGCTCGGGCAGCATGGGATCTGCACAGGGAAGCAGTCCCAGCTGGAACACACCCTTCCAGCTTCCCAGTCCCCAAAGTACCCTTATCCAGAATCTCAAGGCAGGTCTGCTTATTTGTCCGGAACTATTTTGTTTGAAAAGTAGATATAATCAGACCCGCATGCTCTAGGAAAAAAAAAAAAAAAGAAGTCCCCGAAAAAGCCCAGAAACTGGGAGTGTGCAGTATGAATATTATGCTGGTGATGAAGATCCAGAGATACAGAAGCAGCTCAGCGAGTTCAGAGACGTGATTATCCCCGGATTTAGGCCCCAGTGCAAGAGAGGTATCCAGAGGAAAGAGGTTTTTTTTGTCTGCCTACAGACCCACATCAGGCCATTTTAAGCTGCAGGTCAGGAGACACTCTAATAGCCACACTCCTTGGCCAGGCAGGGTTAAATTAAGGCGCTCCTCTTCCTCCGGAGGACGGGCCGGCAGACAGACTGGGGAGGACACGGACGAACGAACCAAGCACGTCCCTATTGCCCAGGTGTGGCTCTGCACAGGCCACCCTGCATGAAGGCTTCCACGCCCACCGTGGGACCAGCGAGGTCACCGGCAGGCACAGGGAGGGGGGCTGGCTAGTGCCAGGCGAGGCTGCCGGGCCTGCAGCCAGCTGAGAGACAGCAGACAGGAGCAGGGACTTGGGCGTTGGCTCTCTGACTCTGGGTGTGAAGTAAGTTTTCTTAAAAACCCAGAACACCATCACCCTGGCTTCCCAGCGTTGCCCCGACAGAAGAGATTGCTCTGAGGCAGGTTAGACCCGCGTTTCTTTGCTGGCTTAAGCCCCGAAACACCATTTCTGCAGGGGCAACCCCACCGCAGAGAGCCGCTGCTCCCCAGCGGAGGTGGGGAGACCGCTGGCGGCACCGGCGCCCCCCGAAGCTCCCCGGGGGGGCTCCCCTCTTACCGTAGTCCATGAGGGACTCGCAGTTCCAGTTGAGGTCCGCCTCGCCCCGCGTGCAGCTCTCCCACAGGGATGCTTGCTGCACGTAGGGCTCCGACTCCGACTCCAGCCACCCCCGGCCCGCCAGGGCGATGATGCCCATGATGATGGCCAGGCCCAGCAGCAGGGGCAGGAGCCACCTGCACCTCCAACACGCGAGGCCGCACACCACCATCCTTGCCCGGCGAGACCGAGCGTCACGAGTGGGGTGTGGCGGGGACGGGCCGCCGGGACAGGAGACTGCGTGCGGCTGGGTCCGAGCGGGTTTTTAAGGCGCCGGGGGAGGAGGGAGTCCCACCCACATTCCTCTGACTAAGCCTGGCGGCGGCCCCGACCGGTGGGGCCGGCGGGGAGGAGAGGAGGGAGCGTTGGGCTGGGCTGGGCTGGGCTGGGCTGGGCCGGGCTTGGCCCCGCTCCTCTCTCTCGCCCTGGTCCCGGCTCCCCGCCAGACCCGCGACCCTCGGTCCCATCGCTCGTCCTCCCCTCACTCATACTGGCACTTAACCCCTTGCTGACTGCCACTCTCCCCGCGGCCGGACCCGCTTCTCCATCGTGGCCTCAAAACGTAACCCCAGCAAAAGCTTTGGGTTCTCGCTAGGTTTCACAAGCCCTGCCCTCCTCCCGGCTGTGGAAGCTCGTCTTTCTCCTCTCTGCTCACCAGCTAGACGGAGCAGCGTTACCCAACATCGGTAGTACTCATCATGTTCACCACTGCAGGTACCAAAACTGGCAGTAAGTCGCTTTGCAGTTGAAATGGTCAACTTCTTCCCCAGTTTTTGGACAATTTTAATGCAAACAAGAATAAAGAAAGACATTATATGACAATGGGATTGTGACAATGAGGAAGCCATCGCTTTGTATGGCATCAAGCTCAGCATTAAACAAATGCGTATTTCCTAATGGCCATCTAACAACTGTTTGATTGCAATTGTGCTCAGGCTTCCAACCAGGCTGCGTCAGGTACAGTCCAGGAGTGGTACTCAGGACCTACATGCCCAGATCTCTTCCCATCCCATGTCTGGAAATGCACCCCTGAGATGACCAAAATGAAGGCTTCTCCATCACACGGCATGAATGAACACCCAAAATTTTGGTCATGGGAGAAACAATTCTCCAAAGTAAGATTCACGTACATCCCACCACATCATCCCATTGCTGAGCACCAATGCGAAGTCTCATTATATGAGCAGACACTTGCCTATCACGGGACTAGGGGTGCATGCGTTTTGGGCACATAACTCATACGCATTTAGCCATGTCTTCAAGTTTCAAGGCCTCAACAAGCAGGTCAGCAGGAGGACAAATCTTTGAGGTCTAAAGGGCTGAAAAAGTATAGCAGGTAGGGGAGATTACATGGGCGTTGTGGAAGATGGGGGCATTCTTATTGGATGGCATCAGATGGGATTTTGTCACAGCCATGTCAAACACGATCAAACTGTGCCCAATGTCAGTTCCTCAAAAGATACTCAGCGAAGTTGTCCTGTGAAGAGGGATGGTCACCTTATTTGGGTACCAATTGCTGGCAAATGGGAATGGATTGTGGTGCTAAAATCAGAACAATATGATGATACCACCATAAGCAAGTTGCAAAAATCTCAGGCAGGTTACCTCAAACCACGTAGAGTTTCACCAGCCCTTTCAACATCCTCCTCAATGTTCCCACCAGAAGAATCTAGAAAGATGCTATATGTATCTGGAAAGTATGTACTTGTTAATACAGTGTGAGTGAAATACGGGATTGTGAGAGTATTAATTCTGTCAATCATAATCATACAATTTCTATTAAAAACTATCTTTAAAAAAATATTTGCAGATTTGTTGCATGGCATATGGCTTTTTCAAAGAGAGCAAATGAAAAGCTATAGCTAGGAGCTATTGTAACATTTCCTAAAAACTGAAAAAAGGGTATTTTTAAGTTGATACTTTTAAGAATTTCCATTTTTGAATACTGTTGAGGGACTAGCTGCTATTTAACTGTCTCAAGGGCTTTTACTGGCAAGTGCATATTGACTGACAAAATAATGAAGGGCTGGTTTTAAGATCTAATCTATCTTTAAATCACCTATCTGGAAAAATTAATGGCCTGCATATTCCTGAATAGTAAGTTGTATTGTGATAAGGTATCAATTCACAGTTTGATTATATACACCCACACACATAAATATATACTTTTACACACAAATGCTTTTCAATCATAACTCCGCCTCCATTCTTCAGTTCTTGCCACTGTTTCCTTACAATATCAATTCAAATCATATGTCTGTACTATTCTTGAATCCTTGATTACCACAACTTTGTCCTTCTCAAATCCAGTGAAATCATCAGTACCACACTACAACCAAAATATCTTCCTCCTTTACTCCTGATGGTCATCCCCACCAATCAGATTTCATTCCAAATTCATAACAAAATAGAGCTGTAAATAAATTTTGCCTGAACTACTTGCAAACCTAATTCATCAGCACACAATTTTTGCATAGAGGAGAAGTAAAGGCAGAACTGGGCACTGGGATCATCAATTTTTGTCACTATAGCAGAATTCCATTTGTGCAGTGCTAAGAGGTGATTTTCCAGCAGTCTCACTGTCAGCACCCGAGTCTCCTCAGAAGGAGATGCAGAAGGTATTTTCTTCAGCACAAAAAGTGAGAGCTGTTGGAAGAGAAGGGAGGTTAAATTTAATCCATTTTGTGAGAAATAGAGTAGGAATGCACCGCTCAGGAAAGTACTCACTTCATTACAATGTCAAAAGTTAGAGAGTTCCCCAGTTCAGACAAGGGCGTAATGCTGGCTGCCGGTTTTAGACGTTGCATTAACAGGTTTCCCAGGGCTGTGCCTACACCTGGAGTGCTTCAGCGCCCTGATGCTGTGGTGCCTGGGGGGCTATGACCAAGGGCCTACAACACAGTCAATGAAGTATCTGCCTTCAGACCCAATATTGCTTGGATTTAGTAGTGAGAAAATCTAGCAAACTAACAAACCAGTGTCTCCTGCGGCAAAATAAGCAGCTCCAGCAGCATATGTAGTTTTTCTCACCTCCAGGCTGTATAGCCCGCATCTTCACAAAGACCAGATGGTAGGAGTCAGCTCTGTGGGGTGGCAGCGATACATGCATGAAAAACACATAGTGCTGTGATCATGAGGAAAAGATGCCCTAATATGGAACAAAATACACTGGAGTTTTGCTTTACTAAAGAATCAGAAATGCCTGAATCTGTCTGGGCATTCTGGACCAAGCTGCTCTGTCAAAAGTATGTTGTGTTCAGCTATGAACACAACTACAAGTTCTAGAGTAATTATGAAAATCTAGACGCTTTTTCCCAAATTTTTCTTTTACCATAGAAAAAAGGAATCATAAGCTTCTTTCACCACCACTATCCTTGCCTTTATTTATTATGTAAATAATCAGGTAATTTCATAATCTTTGGGGCTCTATAGTAATATTTTTTCTCTGCAGTGTAATGAGGGATATGCCCCTCTGCTTTACATGGAGTAAATCATTTACCACTGCTGGCAATCATTCACCCAGCTATCAGAGAAAACCAAGCAACATTGAATGAAGGTCAGGGATCAGATCCAGTCCAGACAGGCAGGGCTGGGCTCTCACAGGGACAGGTTTGAAATGGGCAAGTGGGAATCTGCAGGCTGTTTCCCAAGAGTGCATTTGAGGGGGGAGACATGGTGGGCAGCACAATGCCAAGGGCATCCCTCTGCCCTGCAGTGGGCAGCTGTGGTGCAGGGCGGGGGATCCTCTCAGGGCCAGGGTACCTTTCCTTTTTCCATTTAATCTGAATATGTTTTTCTAACCTGTTTACCTCTCAGCTAAAACCACTAGGAAAAAAGCAATCTCCGCAGACTAATACCTGTTGTAAATCCAATTATTTTATAATTCATGGGTGTTGTCCTTCAGCAGCGTCTTATGCTCACTTTCCTCCAGGTCCAAGTGCCCTAATTCTACTTAATCTCTCTTCAGGCATCACAGCCATAATACCTAATTAGCATCACCAAAACAAGGTAGTCATTCAACCCATAAAACAGGATAGGGATGGGAGGTACTGGGTATAATTTGCAGCAACCACTCCACTCCATGAGTATTTTCAGATCAAACTTCAATTTCCTCATGTGTACTGAAAAGCTGCCATTACGAGTTTTTAAAAAGCAATTTTTCTGACCGGCTTTTGTCAGTAGCCCTTGGATGAACTCAGTTTACATTAGAGACTCATCTGGGGCCGGCACAGCTGAAATAAGCTGGCTCTGTGCAATTGATGCACTGTTGAGCCTGCTTCAAAAGCCATGTGAAAATACTAGGACGTCAGCGTGGCCTCCAGAGGTGTGACTAACCCTTTCTCATTCCAGCAAGACACATTGTATGTGACTCCATCAGCCTGAGATGACCTAAAATCTTAGAAGTAAAAGAATGTTAAAGAGCCCTCCTCCTGTCCATTCTGTGCCTACGATTGCCATACAGGTAGTAATCAAGGTGCGTATTAGATCATTAACTCAGCAACTCCAGATTTCTACACTTAGGTTGTGCAGAGGCCCCTGTATTGTCCCAGAGTTGTACTGGATGCAATCCTGTCTATATGAAGGGAAATGGCAGGATCCCTGAAAGCTGGGATTTTACTCCCAGAGGTCTCTAGAGGCCTCAGGCTCACTTAGATCATGCCCACACAATATCCGTGGTCTTCAGACAATAATGGTCTACGGACTTGTTGCTGCAACTTTTCCTCCTTTAAATTATCCTCTCATTTGCGTTTTCAAAATGTGAAAAAGGAAAGAATCAAATAAAGAACTGTGTCATCTTTGACCTCCACAGTAATTTTGGTTTTGTCCATAAGTCCAAGGCTGCAGACTGACCAGGTTTGTGCATGATGCTAAGCTGTCGTAACGAAGTGCTTGCAATTGCCTAGCTAACACTGAAAGTGTTTCTGCAGGAATGGGAGCCTGGTGCAGCATGTGTACATAACTTCCTAGAGTTTCTAATATTCCTTTTTGAACCACGCTGCCAAGAAAACCCAAGGTATAATTAATACTTGTGCACGAGGGTTTGGGGATTTTCACTGGGTTTTAGTTATTAACGTCTATTTACTTAGAGATACAGGGAAGACTTACTGATTTCTTGCAGAGCAGCGTGATTGTGTTTATTCTGAATTGTGTATTCACGTCATATAAGTTGAGAGAATATATGCTTTGGAAAATATATTTGTGCAGTAGCAGATAGAAGGCTGGAAATGCAGTTATTGTACCTCTGATCTGTAGGGATGCTGTTAGTTTTTCCCGCTGTTCTGAGGACGGGAGTCCGATTTGAAACTCTGTGTTTGACCTGAGAGTTCTCCTGGGATTCCAACCACTTTTAAAAGCGCCTGGGAGGCACAGGCCTCCCCTCCCGCCCTTGCCGCCTCCACGGCGGGTAGCCTGGAGGAAGGGGGGGTCCGTGCCGCAGGTTTCGGGGCGCGGGGG